TATCGTCCATGACAGGTCCGGGTATCGTCACGAGTGGGTTGAAAATTTTCCTCCTTCCTTCCTTTCACTTTTTGTTTGCATATATAGTCTAAAACAAATCAAAATAAACAAAATAACAAATATGTAAGGAAAGTAGTACACATGCAATCGATATCTAATTTTGACTTTGTTATCAAATAATGATGACCACTAATATATTTCGATGTTAAAATGGGAGAAATATAATAGAAAATAACAACAGAAAATCATTCCTTTTTCTCTTACCAACTATCGTTTACAATAAAATAAATCATTTTTGAAAAATATTCACGCGGAACATTTGTAAAAAGTGAATTTGATGAAACTTAACATCTGAAACCAGGATAAATTTAGTTGAAAAGTATTGTCCCTGATGAAATTTTGTTTCTGGTGATATTCAAATCAAAGGTAAACAAAACAATTCTGCACATGATTTTTGGAAATTGATGTTTTTGAAGATAGATGATGGTTTTGTCTTAAGGGTATGTTTCTCATCCCTTAATTTCACCGTTTGTATACGTTTGTATAACCAAAATTTTTTTTTTTTTCTTTTCTATAGGTTGACAACCGGTCATATATCAAGAATGAAGATTCATATTTACCCACGATAGCACGGGACAACGGGAAGTTATGAGATAAAGTCGAAAAAACCGGTTCCGAGTTGTTGTATTACATTTCAGTCTCAAATCGGTATTGTTCTTTCATGAAATGCTTAAGTTGATGGAGTGGCGCAATTCACCACTTGTTCATGTAAAAAGAAGTAATGTACAAATCTTGAATCTCTTGGCGGAAAGAAAAAACCGCGCCTTTAACTTCCGTGGCGAACTTCGCACACATTGTTGATCAAGAATAATTTGCATTCTGCATACATGTATTTATAAATGTTCCTAACTAATTAAAGTATACATGCAGGGACAAAAATCGTTACAGTTTAGTCATATTTTCAATCCATATTTATCCAAGTGAGAAGTGAAAGCAACCAAAGCAACCCTTTTCAGGTTGCATGAGATTGCTTGCCTCTATTTATGATGTACATCAAGATTTTATTTTTATTAAGGTGTGATATGTTTTTTTTTATTGTTATAATTTACTTAATTACATTATGTCATGAATTCGAAATTCTTTCATAACAAAAAAAAAATATTGGGGGGAAAAATAAAGAGAAAATATTTTTCCGCAATTCGTGGCTTAAACACCAATATGATATACCGCATATTATGTGTGTTTATGTGTTTTTATGACTTGATACATGACAAGAGAGGGCACGACAGATTAAAAAAAAACGCACAGCCAGTATGAGGTATTGTATATCATTTCATCATATCAACCTATTTTCTCTTTTATTCAATCTTTATGAATTCATTATGGCCACCAAATGTGGAGAATGTTCATATAAACTCGATGTTGTGACGTGTTGGTCTTTTTTTCTTGACATGCTCATTCATTTCCATATTTCTTTATTCTTTTTTTTCTTTCTTTCCTTTTTTTTTTTTTTTTTTTTTTTTTTTTTAGAAATTTATAATAAAATTTAATAAAATCCAAACATATTTTGTTACAAACAAAATGAATTACAATAATATCCGTTTTCATTCTTCTCTTTTAGTGAGATACCGTTCATTACATAATTCGCGTTTTTTTAATAAAATTCTTGAAATCATGATAAAAAACCTGCTAATTTCATGTACGTATAAAATCATATAAATAAATCCCCTTATATTAAAAATTAAATTAAATAATTTTAATATGAAAAAAATTTTTTTAAATCGTATTGGCAAATGCCGATCCGTTAAAATGTCGGCGCAAACTTTTTATGGAATTAATATTCTCTGCGGTCAGAATAAATTATTTATATTTTTGGCTTTCAAAAAATAGTGACATGTAAATAAAAATAAATTAAAAATAAAAATACAAATAAAATAAAAAAAAAAAATCAATATTTATTTTTATTTTTGAATTAAAAATTCAAAATCCCCAATATATATACATCCTTACCGAATACATCCAATTTCCGTATAAATATTGTTAGGGAATGTCTGTCCATATGGATTTCAAAACTGTTAATGGAAAGAGAATCTCATGGATGGTTGCAGTTAAAAGAAAACATGCGCCGAAAAAAGAGTTGGAGATAAAAAAGATAAACCAATTATTGTTGGTATTTCTTCTGATTGGTTCAATGACCCGCAGTACTTGCCACATTGGACGACATAAAAATAATTGGGTAAATATTTATCTTTTATATCAAATTCTTTGGATGCATTAAAATTAGTATTACTCGCTTTGCTGGTCCATGTTTCACGGACCCTTTTTTTTTGTCATTTACATTCTTTTTTTGCACAATAACCCTTTTTTCTCATTCGGCCCAAAAATCCATTGCTGTGGAATTGTCCTTTTTGACCAAGGTATCACAAATCGAACGCCCGTGATCCCATTGTTTACCACCAAACAAAAAATTTTACAACGTGATTTTCAGAATTTTAAGTTAAACATCGATCCTTTGATGATTTGATCAGAATTACTATTCGGACCTTATTGAAAAAAAAACCCTAACCCCTATTTCATTGTTCATTGAAAAGTTCATTTGGCATTTTTTGTTAGCGTTATCTAAAAATGATCAAGTGGCCATGTCACACAATTTCTCGCCTCCTGTATTTTTCATAGTGACAACTAATAAGGAACTTTCGAAAGAAATAAAAAATATTTCCTGTGAATTTTTGATGATAATGCTTTAATGTTTATTATTAAAATATATTTAAATGATTTTTTAATGAAAAGGATTGGAAATCTTTTTAATTAAAAAAAAATGGATAGATTATTATTTTTTCAATCAATAAATAAAAATACAAGGTTGTTTTTAACCTCAATCGAAATTTTGGAATCCTGATGGATATTGATAATCGACAAAAATCGTAATCAATCTACTGTCATAATGAACGAATGTGACTTGAATTAAAATTTAAGAGTAGCTTATTATGATACCAACAAGATGATTTTATTTTACTTTAATTAGTACAATAGAATAGCATAAATAATCTATTTACAAGCACGATGACGTCAATGACTTCATGACGTATTACGGTATATACCGAACACATTTGTTCCGGTTGCCAATAAAATAAAATCATAAGCTATCACGCCACCTATTAACATGATGGAGAGAGTTCCAAGTCCGATCGCAATCTTCATCCCGTTAATGTTCGAGATCCAAGGAAACGCTTTAAACAATTCAACTTTATCCTTCTGATTATTTAAATTATTGTCACTAGATACAAGCGAGGGTTGATGATGGTGACGAAACTTCTGGCGAAAATAAAAATCCAATGGATCTACATTCGAATCCAATTGACCATTATGATTCAGGGTGATTATCGGGGTGACAACATGCCTTTGCGGAGATCTTCCCCGTTTCAAACTATTACGCGAAATTAAAGATGGTGGAGCCGATAAATGATGTTTATCAATGGTTTGATGATATATCATCGTTGAGCCGGCGGTCATGGTGGTGTGCGAACGAATTCCACCAGGAGTTGAACAAGGAGCACCACGATTTCCATTTAAGACCAATTGCGGTGTTGGAATATCAAGATGATTTGGTGAAGGAATATTATTATTATATTGTCGTGTTTCGAGTTCATGTTGCGCTGAAGTCGTGGTTGGTATGACGTTCATCACCACCATATCGAAATAATTTCTTTCTGGGTGATTTTCTGGCATGATTCTTGGGCTAACCTTGGGACTGATTCTTGGACTGACTTTGGGACTTGAATGATAAGTTCGTATGGATAATGATGATCTCGTAGAACGAAAGGATTCATGAGATTCCTTTCGTATGGGATTATTTTCAAGTAATTGGGGAGGAGGTAAAAGATGATTTTGATTTGGGGAAGGGGGCCTTATAACGATGGGTAAAGGTGATAATTTATGCCTATTATTATTATTATTATTATAGTCGGTCAATATAATGCTTTTGATCGAAATTTTATCGGACATGTATGATTTCTTCCTCTCCGTTTCCATGACGTGCTTTTCGTCACCCATTTCAATTTTAATGATTTCCGGATCATTTCTCAAATGAGTTCCTTTTATGGTTACGTAATACAAGTAGAACGGGAGGATGAAATTACATGAACTATTGAATATCAAACTGGTCCAATTCATGAACGCATTCAACCAAAATCCTGTTTGGAAGGGGATGATGATCACCCAAGGTAACGCGCAAGATAGCAGATTCGCCATAACTGGTAAAAGGATTTTGATATGGTTAACAAAAGAAGGGAAAACAAATTAGATCGTACTTTGAATTTACCTTTTCCGCAGTAACCAGTTCTTATTAGATTGTATCGAATAATGATGGTGTAAACTGGGATGCTCGTAATCAATACAGCCAGCGGAAATAGATAGGTTGTAATGACACTGATAATGGATTTCTCGCTTGATTCATTGATGGTGGAAATGATGTTTGAAGTTGATTCCATCTTATAGGCCATTCCTCCCATGATTCCTAACAAGAGGTAGATCACCGTCGATATAATTAGGGAATACCAAACGGCTTTTCGAATGGGAACTGATGGGTTTACATCGTTAACCCAACTTGGAACCGTAATGATGAACGCGTAATTAAACAAAACCGTTCCGATTACTTGAGATTTGTCGTATCCAACCATGGGAACGAGCTCCGTGTTGAGCCCATGAATACTGAACGTCACCAACCACGTGACAATGATGGTGATTAACGTCATCAACGATATGATTTGCACTTTGATGTTTTCCACGAGATCCATAATCCCCAAAGGAACTGTTATACAAAGAGCAATCTATAATTTATCAACGAAAAAAGAAAATGGAAATGAATTTTTTTTTCCCAAGAAGAAAGGACGTAAAAATATTTGGCTTCTTACCAGATAACCGGCGGTGATGAACATGTAGCGTTCTTCAAATGGACTTCCTTCCGCCTTATGTTCATTTACGCAAAAGAATCCGGTATCGGGATGAATTCCAACGCCACAAGTTCTTCCAATTATTGAAATCACCAAAGAGTCCATCGTTTGAGATGATAATATGATTGATGCTATGTTGATCGATTGCATTGAAATAAATAATCCTGTTTGAACGAGACGTTTGTGATGTCTATTCGGTACAATTAACGATGAAAGGTGAGAAAATTCGACTTGTTTCTACCGATTTGTTATTGAGAAGACATGTTAACATTTCAATTGGATGATTGAAGTAAATATGATGTTCTCAGGAAATCTTACCTGGAACTTGTTATTGCCAGGTACTGCACTTAACGTTTCACATAAAAATAACGATGCTGCGCCACCTAACATAATTGCCACAATAATTGTAATAACCGGGCTACACAACAAAAGAATTTCTATTAAAAAAAAAAAAAAATTACAAAAAATTTTTGATCAAAGTACATTTACTTACATTAACCATCCCGCCATCTGAAAAAGCAACGGTACTTAAAAAAGCATAAAGAAATATCATTTAATGTTGTCAAAGGCAAATGTTAAACAAAAAGTGAAAGGAAGGAAGGAGGAAAATTTTCAACCCACTCGTGACGATACCCGGACCTGTCATGGACGATACCAACAATGCGACGCTACCCAAAAATGAAATACCACCTTCACTTGCCATATTTATTTTTAAATTTTTCTTTATTTTGATTTATTTTTACTACGAAAATGTTCTACAGAGAAATGTGTTAAAACGAAATTTCAAATCTTATATTTATTTATTTAACCTTGATTATAATTTGACCGATGCGTGGCAGGTTCCTATGCGCAAAGCATTAGTTGGTGGAAATACAGGGATAAGGTTCTTGTGTCTTGTTTACAGTGATTTGAATTCGCCGAAAACAAAAAAAAAAAAAAAAAAAAAAATTGACAAGGGTTTATAATTTGTTATAAATATCATGCACAATTATCAGTGGTATTGTGTAATAATCAATTCCAACAACTTTAAAAAATTTCAAAGTTTAAATAATACAAATGATATGGCATTCTTTTCTTTTCTTTTTCTTTTTTGAAAAAAAAAGAAACAATTTCTCTTTCATAATAATTCTTATTTACAATTTCAAGCCATGAGGCTTGACAATTTGGCTTTACGCAAATAAACTGTGCCCAACCTACCAAAATATCAATTTTTTGTTGTTGTTGTTGTTTATTACATAAACATTATTTTCAATGTATTAAGAAGCGTCATGCGGTGAAAAACTAATGATTGATTTTATGTATAAATAAATTAATTATCGCCCAGAGGTGGATCTTTTTTTTTTTATGATCATATTCTACATTTCTTTACCTCAAAATTTCTTATGGATGACTGAAAAAAGCCATCAGTAACCTTTTCTTTAAATAAGATTATGATAATAAAATCGAACTTTTTAGTAATAGATTTTTAGCAGTGCGGTGGCACAAATAAATGTTCACACTAAATTCACTGCGCCACATCAAGTAGGATTTTTTTTTGTTCTAAAATGTACAATGATGTATATTTATTATGTGTATTTATAATATCATAAATCATGATTAAAGACGACATATTATTGTCATTATATTTATAAAATTTACAATTATAAAACCCCTAAAAAAAACTTTAGGAGGTTATACTAGCTCTAGAAAATCTATTAAACCATTTCTGCGATTTCCTTCTGATCTTTTTACATTCGGTCTCAACCTCAACCCTCCAATTGTTCCAGTCATCTTCAGTTAAGTCTCTAATGATATTTGTATCCATAGGATACCAATAAATCCCCCAATCCCTTAATTTCTCGGGATCCAAGTTCATGTCAGAAGCGATCTCTTCCGCCATATAACTTGAGCGTAATCGTATTTCCTGCAAGGACAATGTGCTTTGATACGACCATTTCGTCATTTCATTCTTAAACTCCCATTCATGTCGTTCTATCAAGTTCATGTAACGTTCTAACTTTGCTTTTTGTTGCATCATCCAAACCGACAATAAATCGGATCCCAATGCTAATGAATAATCCGATTGCGCTGTCGGTATATGATCCTTCCAATATATTTTGTAATTACAAGGTGATGTGTATGGAAGTCCACATAATGCATCCTTTGCCATGTTATAATTCTTTATTAAATTATATTCACTGAAAGCAAAAAAAAAAAAAAAAAGATAACAAATTCATATTAATAAATCTTCCTTTTTTTATTAGAAAAAGAAAAGAACAAATGGAGGTCAATAAGTTCAAGTTCACAATACCTGATAGTGTTTTGGTGAAAACAATCATCACAACATCGAACTTGAAATGACCAAAAGATTTGAGATTGCTTTTTACGATCATGACAAAATTGACATCTTATAGCAATGTTTGTCATCAGAATGTAAGTTCTCTCATCCATGTCATCAGGACAAGCCGCACCATGAGGTGGAGGTGGAGGTGGAGGTAAGGAGGGATATGATAAGAAGGTCAACCTTGACTTTCGCCATATAGATTGCGTGGCTGTTGAATTTGGAGAGCACAATAAATCTCTAAAGTAACGAGAAACATGCGACAATGAAAATAAATCATCGGGTGTAAGTGGTTCACATATCGTGATAAATAGTTCTGGCGGTATTATTGATGTCGCTGGTGGTCTTGATGGTTGCGTCGAGTCGATTATTGGCGGTGGTGACCTAGGTTTACGTTGTTGTACTGGAGTTCCAGTTATTTTGCCTCCCATCGTTTAAACGTTTTTATTTGACAATGGGGAAAGAAAAAGATTTATAATTTAATGAAAGTTAAGAGAGAAAAAAAAAAATAAGAATAAATATGGTGAATATGTCAAAATGAGTTGAAAAATGGATTTTTTATAAACAATCCGCATTTATTTCCGTGTAACCAAAGTAATTGTAACCAAAAGGATATAACAAGAAAAATAACCACTCATCTCACAACTTTAATTAACACAACAATTACCATTTGTAAATCATTTTGTTATCAAAAATTGGTTGATAAACATAATATTGGGGAAATCAAATTTAATTTATTATTAAAAGGTGGTAAATTTTTTTTTAATCAACGAGCTTCACGAATATAATGGAGTTTAATGAGATTTTTTTTTTATTTTTTGATCAAATTTTGGTTTATCGGAAAAACAATATTTCTGCGTGAAGCGGCCTGTGATAAGTGGTGATTTTGAAAAGATAACTTATTAATATGCATGCAATGGCGAGTAATAATTACGCTTGGAAATCACATCGCATATTGCGACTTGAATAGAGAGATCATGCAAATGGAACACATGCAGAACCACAAACAATTATCATTTGAAAAAAGGTTGAACTTGAAGATATTGTGATTTATTTCTTTCTCTTTGATAAAATATCAATAATATCAATTGCGATATTTATTGTTGGCTGATCTGACTAAAAATGAGAGATTTTTTTTATTCCCTAAAATTGTTAATTGTATGTCGATCGGCTGTGATGACATGCCAAAAACCCGAAACCGAACTTTTTTTCATCTGTTAGAAGTCTATAGATTGCTTACGTTATTTACTGACATGAGGATGTATTCAGAGTTTGTTGAATTGGCAAGAACGAACAAGTATTACGAGTATTACACATCTCTAAAAATATCTATCGACCTATTTTTATCTTGATGTTAAAATAACGGTCATTTTTTTTATTTTGTGTAATCCTAATGAAATTCAATGAGGAATTATTTATATAATTAAAGTTATTATTTTATATCCCAATTAGGTATTTCTACTAATTATAATGACCATTATATAATCATAACAATAAATACAGCGACCATAACATAACCATAAGGTTAACCATGAGGATACGAATCCTTGAAGTGAAATTCACCAATTGATATTGCCGTATGAAAGAACCATCATGGTGAATCCAAGCTATACCTAAAAAAAACTATTATTTTAGTTATTTTCTTGAATTCCTTATTAGAAAACTAATAAAAATTGATGAATCACATTTAACTTTATTTGTATACAAAAAAAATAAATTGAAAATAAGAGAGGTATGAATCGGGATAAATTTTAAAGCACAAGGTTTAACCAAAATTCACTCTGTGTCACGGTGTAAATAATATTTATGGAGTATGCATTTTCTTCACACTTTACAAATTTATTTCCCCACATCGAGTTTCCGTCTGAAAATAGGATCTTCGAAATTCGAGCCCAAGTTTAAATTCGAAAATCATTAAATCATCAATATTGACAGATTATCAGAAATCGATAAAAATCTGTGATTTTCGATTTTCGTTTTGAAGTCTTTTTTTAAAAAAAAACATGGAATCCTGCATTGAACAATCATGCTTGAATCAATCAATCACACCTAAAAAATAATAAAAAACAATTTCCCTCCCAAGATTTTAAAAAAGTTTATAGAAGATTAACCAGATTTAGGCATTACTCGTTTAGGTGGATCATTTCTTTATTTATATAAATTGATCATATCTTGACTGATTTTTTGATTGAATTTTTGATATCAACCCTTTCCAAATCCATTGTAAATAGGTAAATTTATGTATATTTATTTTTTATATTTCAATAATTATTTTATTAAATTATTTACTTTCTTTCTTTTTCAATTAATTAGCTATCAAAATATGGTGAGTTTGCATTTTTTTTTGTTTTTATTTAATTTTTTATAATTTTATAATTTTAGCAGTATATGCTACATTTTTTAAATGAATCGGATTGGTTTCCTGAATAAGGACCGATATCTAAAATAAATAAAAATACGAACCTTATGTATTAGTTAATTATTTGTTCAAGATCAAAATGGATGATTTCTTTTCAAACTTATATTACACGAAGTTCACATCATTTTCGAAATCTCTCGATAATGAAATATTATTATTCAAATCAGGCTACCAAGACTGATTCAATACCAAAAGAAGTCACAGATTTCATCAAATTCGTGAATGACTCTCCATCACCGTATCATGCAGTTGAGGAAGCAAGATTACGTTTGGTTCAAGCCGGATATGAAGAAATTAAAGAACGCGATTGTTGGGTTGGAAAATTAAGAAATAATGGGAAATATTATTTTACCAGAAATAAGAGTACTATCGTTGCCTTTGCTGTCGGTGGTAAATATGTTCCTGGAAATGGTGTTTCGATCGTTGGTGCTCATACTGATTCTCCTTGTTTAAAGGTAACTCGATCATGTAACATTATTTTTTCTCATTATTGAAAAAACGAATCCGAATGAAAAACAAATTCTTTTTTTAGGTTAAGCCTATTTCCAAGTTACAAAAGGTTGGTTATTTACAACTTGGTGTTCAGGTTTACGGAGGAGGTCTTTGGTAAGAACAACTTTCTTTAATTTAAATTTGGTAAAATTATTGATTATGTTAAATCTTTTCTTCTTTCCAATAGGCATACTTGGTTTGATCGTGATCTGAGCATTGCAGGAAGGGTAATGGTTGAAACGAGTGAAAATAAGTTTGAACATAAATTGATCAAGGTCGCAAGGTACATAATTACCATTTTATTTAATTTTTAAAAATATTTTTTTTTGTAACCAAACACATTCGTTCCCCCGAAACAGGCCAATTCTTCGAATTCCTACACTGGCTATTCACTTGGATGGTAGCGTAAGAGAAGCATTTAAATTCAATAATGAAACTCATTTGACTCCATTGCTCACAACGGCTACAAAATCGTAAGTTATTAAATATTTATTAATAATGTATAAATTATATCAATTTAATTCATTTTTTTTTAAAAAAAAAAAACCAAGGTTGATCGGAAACTCGGATGAAGAGAAAAATGAAAAACATCATCCCATCTTTCTTAATCTACTTGCCGAAGAACTCGGATGCAATAGTGCAATATTTTAAAAATAAATTTGTTTCAAAAAATTCAGTTTTGCATCAACTACTAATAATTTTTTCATTTTACAGCAGTGAATAAAATTCATGATTTTGAACTATGCCTTTATGACACTCAACCATCGACTATTGGAGGTCTTTGCAATGAATTCATTTTCTCTGCTCGTTTAGACAATTTGATGATGTCATTCACTGCCCTAACCGTAAGTCATCTTTTGAATTATTATATGTGCATATATATATGCAAGCATATCTTTAATCGTCAATCAAATCTAGGCATTAATAAACGGCACCAGAGATACCTCGGAAACTTTATGTGATGATTCAAATATTCGTCTGATTTCTTTATTTGACAATGAAGAAGTTGGAAGTCAAAGTGCTTATGGTGCCGGTTCAAGTCTATTAGAGTCAACCTTGCGACGTTTATGCTCTTCTAAAGTTGGTGCTTCCGAAGATGTTGAAATTTCACAGGTAAATACTTTTATCACCCTATTAAATTTTCAATATAGTCCAAATTACTTTTACGTCTAATTTATAACAATAGACGATATTTGAAGAAACCATTCACAAGAGTTTTTTGATTAGCGCAGATATGGCTCATGGTATGTCACGATTATCGTCTTACTTGAATTATATTTATTTGATGATTAGTAATAATTTTCTTTCTTATTTCATAGCCGTTCACCCAAATTATTGGTATTACAAGAAAATTTAAAAATACTCTAATGCTTGTACTTGATTAAATATATTTTTTTCTATTAATTATTTAGTGAAAAATATGAAGAAAATCATCGCCCACAGATGCATAAGGGTGTAGTCATCAAAATAAACGCCAATCAGGTACATCATATTCATGTTCATATCCTCCATAATAATATTAAGTTGTAGAATTTTATGTACTAATAATATATATTTAACTTAATTTTGACAGAGGTATGCAACTACAGCTACAACTTCTTTGGTATTAAGAGAAGCCGCGAAGAAATATAATGTGCCGTTACAAGAATTTGTTGTTAAAAATGATTCTCCTTGTGGTTCGACTATTGGTCCCATGATGAGTTCTAACCTTGGAATAAGGACAGTTGGTATGTACAAAAGAATGAATGTTGGTAATTATTCGAAGTAGATTCTAAAATTATTTGAAATTTAGATGTTGGAAATCCTCAATTAAGTATGCATTCTATTAGAGAAATTGCTGGTACCGATGATGTTGATCACGCTATCAAGTTATTCCAGGTGAATAATATTTTAAATTTTTTTTTCAAGTTAGTTGTTTACGTGAAATTAATATTTTTATTGTTTTTCATCATAGGGATTCTTCGAAAGTTTTGCAAAGATTGATCAGAATGTTATCATTGATTAAATATTTCAAAACAAGTTTTAAATATTTATTCTTTCACCCTATATGTTGATATTTTTCTGAGCTTTTCTTTATCCTGTATTAATCTTATAACTTTTTTATTCTTTTATAAATAAATTATTGCTTAAAGGATACGTTTTATCGTAAATTTAGGGTTAAATAATAATTAGAGTTCGTGATTGATTCGTCTTATCCGGACAATTGCGATATCAGCAATTAAAGTTTATCTTAACAACTATTATTTAGTGCATTGCAAATTAATTTGAAATGTCAAGGAGATTATATGCAAAACTTTCCGAGTAATGTCAACTGCTTGGACGTGATTTTTCTTTTTTTTTTGGTATCTGTGATGGAATTATATATAACTTAATTTTCAGAAAAAAAAATGAAAAAAGAAATGAAGAAAGAAAAAAATTTATATAATGTAGCAAAACAGATTTTCAAGACTAAGAATTGTTGCAAAGTGATCCGATTCAGTTTACACTTCTTGAAGTTTAAAATTTATTTAACTTTTGATATTAATTCAATATTGTGATATATGCATGAGAGATATCTTGCGCTTAAATTTTTGATGATTCTGTTTGCCGATTATTTGAATTGAATCATTAAAGAAGACTCCAAGTTCGTGAACAGATTCGAAGCTTATCATATTCTAATAATATTGAACAGAGCTTTGATTTGCTTCAGATTATTGCTTGAAGTTCGTCTTATACTGGATAGAATTTTTAAGTTCCTAATGAACTTCATCAATGATCAAACTTTTTCCTCGTACTTTTTCTTATTAACCCACATTTTTCATGGCAATCCTTACATTTCAAAACGTGTTTAACGCAAATAGCAACATGAAAGTCGGGCCGCTTCGAGATATCCCACATACATTTCTTGCGCTTCGATACCTCGGGTAGCTTCGACGAATTATTTAACTAAGTTCTCGACTTTAATAAATATTGTCGCGGGTCTCGGAAATGACTCAATGGAAGTATCAATCATAAAAGTGATGTTTTTAAAGGAAAGTTTTACCGCACTTCGAGATCTATTTCAATTAGCTTGATGACTCCAAATTTTGGTCGTTAACAGTTGCTTATAAATGACACTTTATGAACAATATAAGGCTATATATTAAGGCAATTAAATTAGTCACAACATTTAAAAGGGTAATTACAATATACTTTAGTTCGTGACGTATTTGTTTGATGGTATCAGAAAAAGTAAAATTTCAATTAAATCACACCAAGAGGGATCCCATAAGAAACTTCTTGGATCGTAGCTGTAATCCTTTGTCTCGATATTAACGACGATTGCCGAGACATTGCCACATTATTGATATTATCAAACAATTTATCTTTTTTTAAAATGTCAAACTAATTTATCAGT